GCTCATGTATAAAACGGTAGACTATAAATTAACTATAATTAAAGGTATATTATTAGAAGTACTTAAAACTTTATAGGTAAAAATATATAAGTTTAGAGTACGAGTGATAATTGTAAAATTGTAGGTGATTAATATTGATAGTTAAAAGAGTCTAAACATTATGTTCGGTGAAAGATATTGCAGTAGATGAATATGAATAAGAATGACAATGTATGTGTACGTACAATAAAAGTCAACTACATGTATTACATTTACAGATTGGTCCTAGAGTGCTAAAATCGAAATTCTTAAGTTTACTACAAAAATCGCTAAGCGTAGATGCTGTTTTAATTTCTCTAGGTAAACTGTTCCAAAGGTGACTAGCTTTATATGTAAAGGAATTATGATACGATCTATTATTATACCCTGGTTGCACTAGATTTACACCTTTATTCCTTAAACTATATCTAGATTCCCGCAATTTAAAAAAGTTTTTAATATATTCCGGACCGTTCCATTTCATACATTTAAAAAGTAAAACCAAGGAAATATAAAATCGCCTATGTTCTAGAGTTTTCATGTTGCTTTTAGCTAAGATTGTATTGTAATCAACATTATTGCCGAGATTAAGCAAAGTTTTGAGTGCGTACTTATTGACTGACTCAAGTTTAGAGCTCAGTGTTTTATTTATTCCAAGCAATAGCGGACTACAGTACTCCAGGTGAGGAAGTATGTAAGCCTTGNCCACCATTTTTAGAAGAGCAGTGCAACATGAGTGCCCACTTAAGAATCCAGACATATTGAGAGAGAAGTGGGTCTTGAAAGCATCATAGAGCTGATCATACATAACTTTCTCAAGAATCTTGGGAATGGACGACAAGATACTGATTGGTCTGTAGTTTTCCACAAGAGAGCTATCATCCTTTTTATAGGCTGGAGTAACATTACTTAATTTCCATTCCTGTGGCCACGTTGAGTTAGCAAGGCTGTAATTAAGGAGCTTAGTCAAAGGCCCTTTGATTGTTGACGCAGATAGCTTAAGAATCATGGGAGTGATATTGTCAGGTCCACAAGACTTGTTTGTTTTCAGGCCAGTAAGCAATTTACCAATGTATTCCGTACTGACAGGTTGAAATGAAAATCCAAGATTGAAATTGCGCGACGAGATTGAAGTCACACTTGGATGATGTTCGAAATCTTCAACAGACTTAGTCAAAACAGTTCGATCAAGAACAGGTGAAGAGAAGTGTTTATTGAAAAGATTTGATGGATCACTAACAACTGCACCTCTAACCATTATGCATGTGCCATCGCTGTTATCTTGTCCAGAAGACGGTAGAAGAGGCTTTACCCGCTTCCAAAAATCTCCAGGAGTTGTTGCGTTAGCTGAAGAGTCCAAGAAGAACCGTTTAATAGATGTTCGCTTAAGTTTGGTAACTAAGTTCCTTTGTACTCTATAACTTTCCCAAGTTTCGTCATTCCGACTAAGGCGGTATTTGCGGTATAGTTTGTTTCTCAGTTGAATTGCTCTTTTTATTTGGACATTGATCCACGGAAGTTGGTTTGCGTGAACCCTTTTTTTCACAATAGGCGCATGTTTGTCTATTATGTCTTTGTAGAGCTTTGACCAGTGATTCCAGACATCGTTAATATCATTATAAACAAAGGCACTGTCCCATGGAGCAGTAGATAAATCACAACAGAAAGAGGCTTCATCAAATTTCTTCATACTTCTGGACTCAATCGTTTGCACTTTCGATTTCGGTAGGCGTGGTTTTCTCACAATGTATACAAGATCGTGATCACTTATTCCAAGTTTCAACGTGCCACTCTTTGTCCATCGCTCAGGTCGATTAACTAGGATCACATCAATTAGGGTTTCACTTGTGTTAGTAACCCTTGTTGGTTCAGTTATTGTATTTGAGAGACAATAGCGATCGCAGAAATCAGCCAAAGGATTATTCGTATTATGCAAATTCCCATCAACATAGGCCATCATATCGATATTGAAATCTCCAACAAATACAATTTCATTCCTGATTTTTAGCATGTTTTCTGCAGCAGTAGAACAGGCAGAGATAAAGTCAGTGACTTTACACTTACTTGGAGAACGATAACAGGCACATACGAAAAACCATGTATTTGTATTCCCCTTTACATTGAGGCAAATAGATTCTACACCAACTGGTTCAAGCTTGAGTTGTCTTCTCGCAGTTAAAGAATTGTGAATATAAACTAATAGACCACCGGCACCCCTTTTTCTATCATTCCTGATGACACGGTAATGTGAGTTGGATAATAACTTTGTAGAAACAGACTTGTCAATCTTCGTTTCAGAGATAAAGAGAATGTCAAAACGGCATTCGTTTAGTAGATCCAAAATCTCATCTATTTTGCCGATGATACTGTTTGTGTTAAGATGGCCAATCGAGAGATTTTTCTTGTAATAGCCTTTAATATTTTCTTTATACCATTCGACTGGAGTGGGTGATAAAGAAGAAAGCAAACTTGAGTCCCCATCTTCTCCTTCAAGAACGCCAAAATGAGAGTCTTGTGAGCTGTCGTTGAGAAATGGTAATGATGCGAAAGCACATCGATTACAAGTCCACGAAATGGGCGATGAAGCAGGGAAAGTTCGAAAGTTAGCCATGGAGTTTGAACATTTAATATGCATCATATCGTGACATATCCAACAGATAGAGCGTTTATGACTTTTTGCAACTGCTTTCGCAAAGACGGGACACGTTGGAGCAGTAGACCTTGCTTGCTTTCGTTTACTCACAGGTCCTGGATTTACATCGACATCACCGCAAATGATTAACAGCTCCGGCCGAAAAATTGGCATTCGAATTGGAGTAATACGCTACAGGTCTAGAAAAGCCCTTGCGACCAAATTGTGTACAGGTATTAATGCAACGTCGGCGACACGATAATGAACCAAGATGGCGGATGACCAATTTGCAAATGCTTGTCGAAGAGTTGATATCCGTCCAGTCAGCCAGGGTTCCTAGCGTTGCAGATGGTGCAAGATGATGACTTGGTGTGATTAAAAGACATCTCCAATGCGATATTACAAGTATCACACAGATAATATTGGGAAACTTTATAACTTTCCGGGAACTATTTGAAAAACGCCTGACCGCCATGACAACCTAATTGTCCTGATGCTTGTCCTGATTGTCCTAATTGTCCTGATTGTCCTAATTGTCCTGATGCTAATTGTCCTGATGCTTGTAATAAAATTTGTTTCTGGCAGGGCTCGAACCTGCCACCTTCCGCGTGTCAGGCGGACGCGATAACCCCTACACCACAGAAACTACAAATGCAATTATCTACACAGATAATTGCGCGTAACGGGGATAACATACATGATGACTCGCATCCTCTTGTCGAATCACGATGCGAACAAAAATATTTACTAAACGGTGAACTATGCTTCTGGCTGGGTTCGAACCTGCGAACTTCCGCGAACGCGATAACCACTACACAACAGAAACCTCGTTCAATAATTGACGAAGTCTAAAAACATAAAAATATTTTTCTCCTTGCCTTGTTGGAAATGTATAGAAGTTTGAATTCGTACCTTTGTATATATTTTGGTCGATTTCTAGGTCGACAGTCGAGAGGGGGACATGGGAGATTTTGAATACCGCAAAACAACAAAAACCGCATCACCGCAAGAAATATTATCAACACGCCGACACCGCGATATAAAGAAGTCTCAGAATTTACCTGGTCTGGTTTAACTCATCCTTACCGCGCTGAAAATTACTGTATTCTCTATTGACTACTGCCTCTCACATGGTACTGACTTTTTTGGGTGCAATTTGCAAAATGTCCTCACAAAAAAGACACCGATGGCACTTGAACCCATGGCCTCATCTCATTGGTTTGGTAATTAAGCTGGCTCCAATGATCCAGCTTCCTAAAGTTTTTGTTCTGAACGAAAAGGTTTATTTGTGGCGACCGATTGGTTAAGAATATCGTAATTAATGGTGACACTGATCGAGTAATCTTCGTCACCACCAAATTTTTGCGGGGTTTATTTGGCCGTAGGTGACTTTTGATCTAATGCTTTGCCCTAGACCGTAAGAGACATTAGGCCTCTAATCTAGTTGATGAAGGTAGAATCTTGAAAAAGAAGAATTTTAAAAATTGGTCTGAAAAGAAACGATATAATTAGAAAGATTTCTAATGATTATTTTCTTTATGCTACCGAGGACTATTGACTAGTGGAGTAAATCTAATTGTTTCTATCTTAGTTGGGAATTTAGTTAACCGGTTTTTTTTAGAAAACATCATATCTAAAGAAAAGGCAAGGCTTACTGTAGTTAAGAATTAAATGAAATCTATCATGATCCTGTTAATCCCTTGCTTGTTGCTCCGAAAAGCTTCTCTGACGGCAGAGACTGCAAAGGAGTTTGACGAAACTTATGCTTTTAAGAATAGGATGCTCTAGAAACCGTACGCGTATAGAAGTGCAGTTATGAAATTTACTACGTTCCACCGATGGAAGTTCAATATATGAAGGAGACAACGTATACGGTTGACAATGGGGTTTGAGTGGTTTCACTTGTTACAATCATTGTACATTTGAATAAGACAGATTTCAGGCCCTGAATTCATCTTTTACAGCTTCTTATTATCTTGGACGGTAGGTGCTAAGTCATTTTTCGTGGCGTCACTCGCGAAATCAGCTCTAGACTTCCCTCTGCGACCTTCCCCAGTGGTCCTTCGCTGTGACATAATTTTTTTGTTTTGTTTTGTTTGAGGTGTCCGTAACACAGCTGAAATCACTTTTGCGAATTTCGGCTAGTAATCCCGACACAATTTAACTTACAACTGGTAGGTAAACATGTGCTCAAATTAAGGGTTTTTTTTTAGAAGTTCGTCTCTCTCAGACTCAGTGGCCTCTCAAAAAGAAAGCTTCTTGTGAAAATAAAGGTATAACGAAATTTTGATTTGTTTGATAGAATTTGAAACCAAAACAGATTTTGAAGCATATACACAATTACGAAACCTGTTTCTGGCAGGACTCGAACCTGCGACCTTTCGCGTGTGAGGCGGACGTGATACCCACTACACTACAGAAACCTACACTTTGATTTAGATAGATAATTTTCAACAGGCATTAAGAACCTTGGAACCACATGAACAACAGCCACCTACTAGAAAATACGTAAAACACGTCACTGATAATACGCCTTTATTCTGATTGTCAAAGGCTTCGTGAAGGTCATCATGTAACTTTTTCTCCTTTTTTTAATCGTACTCTTAGTTAACATGTCAAAGTGAAGGTTTCTTTAGTGTAGTGGTTATAACGACCGCCTCACGCCTGCAATTGTTTCTATGGTTCAAAATCTACTCTAGATTCAAATGATATCAAACAAATCAAAATTTAATACCTTTATTTTCATAAGAACCTTTCTTTTTAAGTGACCATTGAGTCTGAGATAGACCAAAATGCTAAAAAATTAGTTTGAGCACATATTCACCTATCGGTTGAAAATAAAGTTGTCAGGACGGGATTATTGCCGAGATTCGTATAAGTAATGTCAGCTATGTCACAGACAACTCAAACAAAAGAAAAAAAGTGATGTCACAGCGAAGGACCATTAAGGCGAGATTATTTCCAACAGGAGTTCCTTATGTTTAAGGTGATAACGATGAAAGTGTCCGTTCATTTAAATTTGGTCGTTTCCTCCGTACAGTTGGAGACCAAATTATTGTTAATTTGATGCTTACCGAAATCCAACCTCTATCTTCACCTGAAGTTATCGATCGTCAAGATCATTGGAAACTTTCTCAGAGTGTTCCTTGATACTTATTACCTCTAATTGTCTGAAAATTGTGTTTTTGCAAAATTGGTATTTATAATCAACTTTTGGGAAGTATTTTTGGCTTTCTTATCAAGATGTGTTAAATTATTTAACCTACAGAACACCTCTATGACGAATGATTTCCAACTCTGGTTTCTTTCTAGTATGTGTAGACTGTCTCCGTGGTGCAATCGGTCAGAGCGTTCGGCTGTTAACCGAATGGTTGGTGGTTCAAGCCCACTTGGGGACGATGCGTTCTGCGTTCAAATGCTACTGCATTAAGTTCGACAGATATTCACCTTAGAAAGCCTCTGTAAGGCTCTCCATAATTTTTTTTCCCTCATAGTCAACTTTAGTTACCGGCCTGTGACAGGAGAATGTTCCGTTCTACTCCACTGTTTCTGTTGTAGTCTCGAGTGCATCTACGATGTATCTTCACCATAGTGGACTTAACGTTAGAAAAAAAAAGTTTCGCGATCACTTATTTGACCGCGTCTCCAAGGAGCGGAGGATTCAGGATACAGGCGAAGAAGCCGGCTGCCTTATTCTCATCCTTTTACTTCGTCTCTAAGTCTCTTAGTCGGTCAATGTAAGATGCTGAAGGAATTAACGAGGTTTCTGTTTTTGTTTATCGTGGCGAAAAGAGATTGCTATATGGAATTGACGATTGTTCCGCTGTGACGACGTTCAAGTTTATGAAAGATATCAAAAGAGGATTTTAAGAACTCCAAAACAAACACACAAACAAAAAAAAAAACAATTGTAAAAGTGGCTAACGTCTACTTTGATTGGTTTGTGGGTAATTACTGGTATGAATGTCTTAACTTCACTATTGATGATCGAAAACTATGATCAATGCTCTTTCTTTTTTGTCGTGTTATAGTCTCCTCTAACGACAACGTGAATAGTCCAGGCAGTGTGGCGGTAATTGTCTCTTGAGTTATGAACGAGTTTTTCCTAAATCGAAAGATGTAGAAGGAGCGCCGTAGCTTAGATGGCAAGAGCTCCTGTCTAGTAAACAGGATGTCGTTGGTTCAAGTCCCATCAGTGCCTTTATTTTTTAAGGAGAACATTTTGCGAATTGCATCCAATAAGGTCAGTAGCATGTGGGAGGTAGTAAACAATAAAGATTACAGTCATCTCTATGAGCAGAAGGATGAATGAGAACCAGACGAATTTAGATTACATTGCCGCCAACTTTAGTAAAATATCTTATATACAGCAAGAGTTAGGTGGTTCACAAGATTTGAATTTCAAAAGTACGAGGCCTTATTTGTGCGGTGATTGATATTTTATTTCAAAACGGAAAAGGTTTCTTTATTGGAGTAATTTACCGTCCTCCAGTTTCTTCAAAACATCTTTGGACAGCGTTAAATTTCAGATTTGAATTAACGCTTTCCACATTGTCATCATATGACAAAGAATGTATTCTCATTGGTGAGATGAACTGCAATTATCTGTTGCCATCGGATCTTTGCATTGTATAGTAAGATTTCGGATGGACTGAAAAATACAGCACTACTGGTGAGAAGGTCAGCTTCCATATAAAGTGAACTAAGCCTTGTTTTATCTACATTTTGATTCATAGAATTATTATTACTATTATCATTATTAATAACTATTGAAAGTTAACTAATGAAAGAACGGTAACTATACAACGCAAAAAGCATAGCTAATCTGAGCGGTTTAGAGTTAAGATATATACAACATAAAATAATAGATATGGGGAAAAATACTTATACATATCTGCTAGAAAATTGTTACATCAAGAGAGAGCAAGATCATTACCTACAAAAGAAAGGAATTAAATAGGAACTAGAAAGGAAGGTGAATATATATTATTTTTTATAAAATTATTAAGCTTCTAATTAAGGAATAATTTATCAGCAAGATTCATACATCAGCATAAACGCCCTCATGTACTAAAAACTGCAACAATTCAGTCTGAAGGTGTTTTTTCATCACAACTAAATTAAATCGGTCTTAGCCTACCTGGCTAAAACAGCTTATTGAAACCCGCACGAGAATTATGCGCGAATCCGTGACCTTGACTGACATCATTTGCAGTAATGAACCAGAGAAAATCACTGGCTTGAGCGACACGATTTAATCTGCTGTGGTTGTAAAGTAAACAATGTGGAACATCAGCCTCGAATTACAACCTGCCGAAATTTTTCACACTACGATCTGAAGTAATTTTGCGAAGAACCTGTATCCATGGATATAGTCTGTGCATAATCTTTTGCGAATACTGCTTGCAGCGAACATTTTACAGGGGTGTATTTAAGAACATGCGCCGTTCATTGAAAGGAAGGTCAGAGGACGATTGTATCCGTGATTGACGTAAGAGGTCAAACACGAGATGAACCCGAGGGGTGGCTTACTCAGGAAAGCTCGCAGAACTGACCAAGAACCTGACTCATCTATGTGCAAGGGACAATGTAATAGAGTCACAGGTCTTATTAAAAAATGCAAGAGGAAACATCACCAGGATATTCTAAAAGACAATTCCGACTTTCCTAATGAATTCTGGACAGCCATTAAAACGGCTGTATCCAATAAAACTACCTTCAGAGCAAGGATCAGCATTTCAAATAAACGATACGAAGTCAACTGATAAGAAATTATTTGGATATATCAACAAAGTTGAAATGGTAAATTGGCCACCGTAACGATTACAAAAGCTGACGTTTCGAGCGTTAGCCCTTCGTCGGAGCGAATAGAGGAATTGTGGGTTGTGTGTGCTTTTAAAGGCAGAAAATGGAGCTACGTTATTGGTGGGAACATGGCAACGAGAAAAACAAGAATTCCTGGCGTAGCTCCTTTGAGAGTTTCTTATGCTAAGACAAAAGTTAGTAGTCGCAGCAATCAAAATACAAATTAATAAAGGCTGATAGTTTTGTTCAGTTTAAAACTTGTTTCTTCGTTGTAAAGGACCGTAACTTAAGTTTGTCAGTAAAATACTTTTTCAAACGAATACCCTTATTAAGGCGGACACTAGTAGTGCTACCTAAGTGTAAGGAAAGACCGCAGATTGCCATATGTTGCTTAGAATGATTAGGTAAATTAAAATGTCTAGCGACTGGTTTCGATGTGTCCCTGTCAGTCCTTTCCACGTCTCGAAGGTGTTCTCGGAATCGGTCACCTAGTCTTCTGCCTGTTTCGCCGATGTATATCTTTTTGCAATAAGTGCAAGTTATGCAATAGATTACATTGGCGGAGGTGCACGTCTGATAAGAAATTAATCTCTAACAACTTCTGTGACTTTTTTGCTAACGCCGCCATCAAACTAAAAAGAAAATCGTTTTGTTACGTGACTTTTTCTGGAACAATCCTGGCGAAATGAAACTCCCTCTAGTTAAAAAGGAACTCTTTTTAAGAGTTGTGAAAGAGGCAGAGATTCGCAGTGAGCTGAGGAATTTGGTTAAGATAATCTCCCAACTGAATTACTGAAAGATGCAGCAGAAGTCATCACAAAGCCTTCAACATTTATTGTTGAACCTTTCTCTCGCGACTGGAGTCGTTCCTACCGAACGGAAAGTGGCCAGGGTGATTCCCCTCTTCAAGTCTGGTTCCACGGCAGAAATAGAAAATTAATGACCAATATCAATTCTCCCTTCTCTGTCAAAGATTTTGGAGACAAAGTTGTTAAAGCAGGCAATGAGACATCTCGAATGCAACAGCCTTCTTTCCGAAAATCAGTTTGGCTTTTGATCTAATCGCCTAACTGAATTGGTGATAACTTTCTTTACAGATTTAGCTTGATTAGCATTTCAAGTTGTTACTCACTGCGGACAACAGTTTAAAGGAAACCGATCCATAGTGACAAATGACTCGAAGTCCTATAACCGACCTCATTCAAGGCCGGTCACGGGCCAGACACTAACGAGACGTGTGCAACAAATTTACAACAAGAAGGACTGCCTATCCAACGAAAACAAATACCTTGACCCTTTCTTTTCCGAGAAAAACTACACTCACGGCGACGTCATTCGACAAGACAGACGAAGACCTACCGGTCTCTTATTGTAGAGCGCGATGGTCGTACTCCCCACCTCGTTATTCGCATCACGCTTTGCCAACTGAGCTAGTAGACAATTCAAGTCATGCAACACCAAAACTATCTGAAGAATCATTTTTTATCATTTTAGGTCTCTCAGATTCACTAAGTAAAGCTAATCTGTCAAGATAAAAATTATGGATGCTGGGCAATCTAAATAGAAATGGGGCCGGATCCCCGGAGAGGCGGGAGCCGGGCATGCTACCATATGGATT